ATATATATATATATATATATATATATATATATATATATATATATATATACATATATGTACAGGGTGTCCCAAAACTACCGGATGTCATTTTAATAGTAGATTCTTTAAAACATTTTAAAGCGAAAACTTTCATATAAAAATATCGAAGCTATAATAGTGTGGCGTCTTAGAGAGCGAGACTCCACGCAAGGTGCATCGCTCCTATTTAAAAGGACGTTTTCGGAGCGCACCTTACGCACCGTCCTTCCAGGAACCGCGAGGCTCGCGACGCGTTTCTGAGAAACGCGGCGGGGCAGCGATAAGCGCGAGCCCGCGATGAATTCGCGGAAACGCGGAACCTGCACCGAATTCGGAGAATCGCGAGCCTCGCGATTTTCGAAGAAATTTAAAGCTCACCGATAGTAAACACCATGAAAGAACCAAAGTATAAATAGCGGACGAAATCGCAAGAAGAGCAGACTCCGCTCTCGACCTCGACCGAGGAACGATCTAGAGAGATCAAGCAATACAGAGCAATAAGGCAACTGGGAGCCAACTCTCCTCCAAGGAGAAAACTACCGTGCCGTACGAGTCCTGGGTAGGCATCCTGAAGCCCGACAAGAGACAGCCTCAGGGCGAGGCTCGAAATATAGCCCGACTACAGCTCCGCGAACGATATCGCAAGTTGTTCGGGACCGATAGCGAGGAAGATGCGGCCAAGGAACCAATAGGACCAGAACACAACTCGCCGGTTTCCTCCTGGTCCTCCCTGCCGACGACGCCCTCTCCGACGCGGCTACCCCGAACACCGTCACCACGGAAGCGACCACGCACCGGGGTACCACCCAGACGGCCCTCGTTGACAAGGGACGACGGCCCGAGAGGAGAACTCGTAGAGACGCTCCATCCATGGAGGCTGATACCTTTGCGCCTCTCTCCAGTTAGGCGCACCCGACCTCCGCTGGAGAAACTCATAACCTGGGACGTGAGAGCCTGCCGACCGCTCTCACCCCGGTATTCGTCTCCACTCGAGAAGGTGTCATCACCGGCCCAGGCTCACCGGGCAACGCAGACGTCGCCAAGGA